TATATTTCTCTGATTGCTCTTAAATGTTCCCAATTCCCAAGTTGTATAACGAGATTAATTTCGCTTCGTAACTGATTTTATATTCTGGTAACTATATTTCGTAATCTCGCTCCAAACAAGGACCACATGCATAACTTCGTTGCAATCTACGTCTACCATAACACAGACTTGCTTAATTCCATGATACGTCCACGGATTTTGACGTAATGCAGCTTTGGGGAGCTTAATTCAACGAAGCAAGTTAGCGAAAATTATCTGCACTCGATAGTTTCGAATAAAAAAAGAAAATCAATTCTTTTTCTCTCCCGCGTGTTTCCCTTTTTTTCCATTTTCAAAAATAAAAAATTCGAAATATCTCGTGTATGTTATGTAAAAGTATAAAAATGAAAATATAATAATGTTTTCCGAATGTCATCCGAATACTTTAATGTCCAAACGTTTTATTACTCGAAAAATTTCTCTCCACTTTTATCTGTCTCTATTAATTACCACGGTGTTTTCAACTTTTCCTTTTTTTTTTTTTCTTTTTTTGTTCATTTCTCCAACTCTACACCTCAAAGATTTTTATCATAATAATTCTGAAAAATAACTTAAATATTTTGCCGCGATTCAAATATATTTTATTTAACATTTTTTTACATTATATATATTTTTAACATTCAAGACAAATATTAAATATTTGAAATTTTATCCTTTAACTTTGTTGAAATAAAATTAGAATATCTCTTTAAGAATTTAGATCGTAAATCTGTAAAAATTAAATTCTTATATAGAATATAACACTTAACGAGAGAGACTTTAAATATTTTTAAACATCCGGAATATCTCACTGTGATTGAAAAACGCTGCTCTACCGTCTAGAAGAAATCTATAATAAATCTCTAATTAATAGTAAAAGAAAAAAAAAGGCATCGCGTTATTCACACTTGTGCAACACAATTGGATTAAATATATTCGAGATCTGGAAACAACGATAAATATACGATATCTATAGAAAATTACGAAATAACTAATATAACGTTATCGAGAATTCCATACTCGAAATGAAAAGTTCATAGTTCAATTTGCGTTGTGCGCAACGCGGTTTAAGCTTTTCGAATAATTAGTTCGCATAAGGGAGTTAAATGAGCGCCAAGTGTAGCTCAAGAGATCAGAGTCGTACTTCGAGTTCCTCTTCCACTTTCATGCTCTCACGATATCGACTATCCGACTGCTTCTCTGACTAAGTTTGTCAACTTATAAGCAAATCATGCTAAGTATCGCATACTGAGTCGATCGAAACTTCTGAGACAGGTTTCAGAGGGGAATATAGAGACGAGATATAAAAGATTGTGCAAGCTATCGAAATATCAATATTAATTTGAATGGAATATCGGATGTTTCAAAAGGGATAAAATTATCGAAGGAAGCGAAAAGTCTTATTCGACAAAAATATCTGGAAGAGGAGAGAGAATTTTCCAAAAGTAATATTTTCCCCACAAAAGAGTATCTAAAACAAGCTTAGATTATCCTCAAAGCGAAGAATAATAGACGCTTAACTTATGGATATCAAGTGGTTGGCGCCACGGAGTGTGTTCTACAGTTTATATTACGATGGCAGCCTGTTAGATTACGGGCCATCTAGCAGAGGAGAGAATTTGAAGTGTCACGCACAGACATCATCGACAAGACGTCTCCTGTGAAGGATGCTAACGATAAGTGATGGTCTGGCGCCACTTGAAAGTGTGTATCCCACTTATGAATATTTAAATTTGACGAAGGAAAATGAACGTTTGGAAAATCAAAAATTCACTCGTATCTCTCTTCGAACGAGTATTGACGAGCAGATACAAAAAATATATATAAAAATATCAAATTTCAAAATTCTTCTTCTCGACAAGTTCTGAAAGGAACAACACGTGTCTATTATTTTTCCATAACCTCGAGTGACCTCGCCGCTTTATCAACTCTTTCTTCTTTTCATCTTTCTACTTCGTTTCCTCGACATAAATCCCCCCTCCACTATAGCAAACAAACACGTGCGTTTCCATCGCAGTAAAAAACAAAAGGCCGAAAGGAAATGGAAGTAGAGGTTCGACTTGCATCTTCGATCGAGGAATTGTTCCGAAGACCGAGTTTACGGCTACTTTTCCTACGAGGCAAGATTGGAAAATTTTCTCTTCGACCTCCCTCGAGGAAAGTTTTCCTCCCTTCTCTCCGTGAAAAGGCCATCGAGGGGAGGTTATTCGAGAGCAGCCTCTAAAATTCGAAACAAAAACTTTCGCGATTATCCTCGACGATCGGCCGGCCAACTGACGTTTATTTACCGCGAACGTCCCTTAAGAAACTTCCAACGATCTCGAATCCAACTGTTGGAAATAAGACGAGCTTTTCCATTTTTATTCCGATAAGAATCGGTCCGAATCGAGAAGTTAAAACGAGGCGATCGTCGCCGTTTCGCGGAATGAAGATTGCCAGAAACAGGTTTCCCACGTTTCGAAGCTTCTTGCGAATTCCTCTTCCTTCCATTTCCTCCTCCATTCTTCGCCTGTCCCTCTTATTTCTTATCCGCGTTTCGACTCTCGTTGGAGGAAGAAAAAAATAAATAAATAAAATAAAATAGAATATTCGATGGATGTTCCTGAAATTTTTGTTCGACTTTTCTTCGAATACAAACTTTTTACCAAGTTTGTATTGTCGAGTACGATATTACGGCCGAGGTTAGAAGAGAGTTAACCAAGTTTCTAATAAAGACATTATTTCTCACATCGCGATATAAAGAATAAATTGATTCTCAGCGAGGGAGGGGAGAGGAAAAAGATTTCGAAGGATGTCTCTGGAACTTGGTTTGACTAATTTTCATTTAATTTGTTTCGTTTCGAGAAGGATACCGTTACTGCACAGAGACAAGACTGCAGAAAGTTAATGTAGTTTCCAAAGAAGATTTTTCGCACTGCGATCTGCGATATATAATGAATAAATGGGGAAAAGTAGATAAAGAGTTCAAGAGAGAGAGAGAGAGAGAAAGAGAGAGGAAGAAGTTTCTGAAACTTGGCTCGACTGATTTTTATTAAATTTGTTTCGTCGAGAACGAGATGCCGCTATTGTGACAAGTTTGAAACAAGTTAAATGAGGTTCCCGGAGGGGATATTATTTTTCCACGCTATGATTCGCAATAAATGATAACTTTTTACGATTTAGATTGGAAATTTGACATTATAAGAAACAAGGTTGATCAATCGAAACCTTTTGACGTGTATTAAGGATCGAAATCGTGGGGAAAGTTGAAACCGTACAATGTTTTCCCGTATAATGGAGTTGACAAAGGTCTTCATGTTTCTAAAAGCTGTGATTTATGAACCGTTTAATACGATTCTCCCTCGGCCAATGTTATATTCCAGATATCGCCTGATATAATCTCATCACATAAATTTAACCGTGATGGTTATTCAAGAGTCTCAATTTAATGCGATAATAAATAGATAATAATAAATGCGCATTGTCGTTTAAAGAAGATTTAAACGATGTTTATCATTAATGTTTTTATTTTTAATTTTTTTGAATCTTTGAATCAAATAATTGTATAATAATTCAATAACGTTACACCCATTGATCTATATGAAGAAGCAGTGCACCTCTTTTTTCAGCTTAACATTCTCAAAATATAATTCCACCAGTCATAAATCTATGAGAATCTTCGCAGCAAACTAATAAATAATTCTCTTAACTGCGTCCAATTATTAGGTGACTAATTGGAACAAATCGTGATAGAATTTTTAACGAAGTTATTTCTATGATTGCAGAAACATTTATCTCATTATCCTTTTAAAATCACCCTAAAATTTTATCGAATGTTTCGATGAAAATTTTATTATTCCTTAATCAAATTTATTGCATAAAAATATTCCACGATTTACTATACGCTTATACTTGGCTCGAAAATTATATCATTTCATTATCGAATAGATTCAAACAGTGCTAATACACCAAAATGAAATCAAATGTATAGCCATCTTTTTGGCTCGTTCGTCGGAATAACGATAGCAAAGATAATTTAAAACGACAGTTTAATAGGCTTTAAAGCCTTCAGAATACCGGTTCTCGTTAGTTAACCGTGCTCAAACACTCGTCGACCACATTCCCTACGAATTTCCCACTTTCAACGCAATAAAATAAGACGAATGAGCTATTCAATCTTGTACGAGGACACGAAGACACGATACGTGTAAGTTGAACATCGTTTGTCTAACTCTCGCTCGTCAAGTGTCCGAAACTACATCTAACTAATGTCCATCTGTGCTGGCCAAATAATAAATTAAGCTTCGAATAATCGCGTGAAAATTTCAATTAACAAGTTAAGTTTCCTGAATAATTGGAAAATAGCTGTTCAAAATTAGAATGGAGCAACGATGATCTGAGGATGAGTTATATTCAGAAGAAATATTTAAATCCGATATAAAATAATAAATTATTATTCTTTTTATTGGAAAACTCAGGATATTTTTGATCCATTTTATGAATATATAATTACTTTGGAGAAATATAGGATTTTATATTCATTATTAATTGAAGATTGATTTCTCAGACTAACGAAACACTTGTGAATGAAGTATTCTCTGAAATTCGCTTAAATTAAAAAACTCGTTAAAATTAATATTCATGTATGAGATTGATTCCTGTTTTGTTAATTAAGAGAAATTGATTATTCACAATTTTAAACGTAATTAAAATAATTTTTAATTAGAATTTACCACGATTAATTTCCACGAAACAATAAGATATATTTCAATCAGAATTAAAATTAATTAAATATTGATAAAGAAATATTATTATCTAGATATTATTTAACTATTCCAATATAAATATTAAATGGCGAAAAATTAAAAAAAATAGATAAAGTTCTATTATTTTTAAATTTTAAAAATCAAATTTCGAAATTCAGAAATTTCTATTTTCAGATATTTAATTCAATTCCAATTGAACACTAATTCACGCACAAAGATACGTATATTGACACTCACCGACCGTTGATATCTGACGTCACTTTTAGAAAATAATATCGAATGCACTCGACTCAGATGTGCTTGTCTTCGTGTTACTGGATCTCTGGAAAGGATCGGTTTGCTGGGAAATGTTTTCAGTTCCGTTTCTTTGACGCTTTGTACTGGAGATTTTACTGATCGTTTTCTTACTGCAAAATAAAAAATATATACAAGATAAGAAATATTATTCTTGACTGAAGTATAATTTTAACCTGTAAGTTAATTGAGAATTTTATAAAAGTTAAAAAAGTTAAAAAAAAATATTTGCATAAAAATTTAAACGAAATAATAATATTTGTCATCTATTTTTACGTTTCAATTTAATATAGAGAGTCAGAAATTTATATATTTAACAATTTTTCTATATCCAAAACTTCAAAGATTTTTTCTCTCAAAAAAGTTACAAAAAATTTACAAAAATTTAAGAAGAGGAATCTGAAAAATTTTATTTTTATCTCGATTTTATATGCTTTTTTTTCGAAACACAAAATACCTCAAAAGAGGAAAGCCTATATGTATCATACAAAGAAAAATAGTCAAATAAATTTAGATAAATTTTTCAATCACTGTTACAAAAATTTATTCTTCGAAAATACTTAAGATTCTTGTAAATTTTCAATTCGATAAATTTCCAGTTATCCTAACAACATTCCAATCCTGAACACAAGATTGTCAATATATACTTATAAATTCTCAAGAAACTCAAACAAAACTTTCCACACCTGTAAACATTACTAAGTCTCGTTTACCAAGTTCCACAAGTAGTAGAAGCCTAACGTGGTCAGACAAGGTACTGAAATTGCTTCCCTGAGTGCATCCTTCAAACTTCCTCAACTCCTTGCTCTCAAATTTCAGAAACGATTTATTCCAAACGATACGATGACGTGACCTTCTGGAATTAGATTTCATAACTCGAAATTCAAAATCGATTTTTGATCACCTAAATATCGCCTGATTTATTTCAATTGAAAAACTTTGATTCTATAATTTTATATCTTTATCATATAATAGAAAAAATAATGAAAATATAATTCCAACATTTTTTGTATAAATAAATTTTCCAATTTTTGGAATAAGATACAGAATAAAAGAAAAATATATACATAACGGATAAAATCTGCTCTCAATTTTTATTGAATATTTTAATTTTATATCCGAAATCGAATTTAATATATCTATTAGAAATTCATTAAATTATTGATACATCATATTAATCTACATAAAAGAATGCATCTCCGTGTTTGAAATAATTTTAAATTGATTGAATCATGTATGAATAAATGGATTTCTTTATTAACTGCATACGTCTCAAATTTTACGTGGAAAATGAAATCTTAAATTTAACTAAAAAAGTTCCATCCTTCTAATGGCTCGATTCTATGGATGCCATATAATTTTATTACAACGATCAAAACCAGAAGTGTGAAACGATAATTTACACTTGCCACTCGACATCTTGACAATGCATTTTATAGTTTACATCGTGAACATTTCTTTCCCGTTAATATCAGACAGAATTTACAAAAATACATGCAAAAATCATCGCAAATTTTTATTTATCTCGCTCGACGATTTTATTTAAAAAAATTTCTAAAATAAGCAAAAATATTTTATCTATCAAATTCTGAAAAAATTTAATTAAAGTAAAGGATAATAATAAAGAATAATAAAAAATAAAAAAAATAATAATAATAAAATAAAGAATAAAATTTAATAAACGAAATAGGGAATAAATTACGTTATATAGATGTGAATCGTGCCGATGCCTTTGTTAAACTGAGCTCGCTATGCCGCGTCGCACGCGTTGAAGGAGAACAAAACAAAGCAGAATCGAAACAGCGATCGTATTCAATAACACTATAATTCACGCATTAATATATACGATATGCCTTTACATATATAAACATTATTTAATTCAATGAAATATCGCGTAAAATGATTGTGGTTTTTTTTCGATTAAAAAATTAAATTAAAACATGAAATCAATTTTGCATATTTGTGCAACGTTATTCAATAACGTTAATTAATTAAATTTAATTAACGTTAATATAATTCGATATCTTTAATAAACGTATCATAACTATTTATTTCGTAAATGTATATTCATTCGTCTAATTTCGTGTAATAAATTTTATTTACATTTCCAACGCGTTAAGTTAAAATGTGATTGCTAGAAATTTTAACGAAGAGGATAATTTTATCATTACGAGGACATTATTATGAAATTTGCATAATTTTTTCATTAAAATTTCTTCGTGATAGTGATAATAAAAATTTTACGATATAATTGGAGCATCTTAAAGTTCTCATATATCATTTCGAGATTATACTTGTATATTGCACTCCCTTTGTAAGAAATTTTCTTTTTCCAGAAATAAGAGAAAATGCTACATCCTGTTTACATAATATCCATTTTTCATAGTGATTCTTCGGGCTATTTGCACGACCTAGAATTACTGTATACTATATTTAGTCGGCACAATAACTTTCTCCCTTGCAAAAAACAGTAATTATAAATGTTGCGCGTTTCTCAAGTAAAGCTGGGAAAAAGGAAGAGAGCGGAAAAGTATAATGGAAAGAGGGGAAAGGTGGACACAATTTTTTGTTCTCCTGAAGAGAAGAAGCTTCTTTTAAGCGAGATTTCCCCAAAAGCAAACGAAAATTACTACCTTTCTTCATAAGTTCTTACACCAACAATGAATATTTCCACTTCGTAAGATGATTATCGTGCCAAGTACGAGTTCCAACAAAGCGAAACAAAGAGAAGATGAAAGTAAAAGAAAAAAAATGAAGGACAGAGTTAAGAAATTTGTCTTTCCTCGTATTCTTCTTTTTCTTTTCTACTGTGAATATCATTATCTAAAAAAGCGCTCGTGATACAAGTCAAGAAATATAAAATGTTTAAAATTAATAATAAATTTTTTCTATCGCCTTATAAATCCGATCGCCTTATAATTTCGATCTTGGAATTAATTTTTTTTTAAATTTTGCAAATTTTTTAAATTTAGAGAAAAATATTGAAGAAGAATTTAATCGCTTTCGAAAATTAGATACAATTGGTGGTATAAAATTTTTCTAACATTTAATAGATTACACGATGGATATTTCTTATATTTTCTCTAATATTTTCTATAGGAGGATTTCTGCTTTCTCGAGATTTGTGATTTCCATTATGATACCATCCGCAAATCTGTTTTTTACCATTAAATCTCGAAAACTGGCGTAATAGGGAAAAGCCTCCTTTTCCAGAGTAATGGAGTTTATCGATTTTTTTTTTTTGAGCTGCAACCTCAATGTAATGCTTGCAAATGAAAATCTTTTTTTCGTTTACATAAATTATATTTCATATTGAAAAATTGAATTCGTTATTTTTTTTTCAATTTATAAAAAATTATTAATTCATACATCATGCTATTTCAATTAACAAGAGACAATTATATTTTTATTTGTCAAAAAAAAAAATGAAACATTGTTTGAAGTCTTTTTTAACGAACAATTAGAGGTTTTTCTCTCTATCGAAAAATTAAATTTATTTTGTTAGGAAAATTTTTACGAAAATTATTTCATGCTCCGATAAATAAAATATTTCACCAGACTTCCACTTCTTCTCTCGAAACGATCCTTTATAAAATATTTTCAGTAATTTATTTGGAACTTAAAAAATAATACGCGAGTATTACTTAAAACTACGAAAAAAAAAAAAGTATAAAAAAACTTTCGACCCAAATATTCGAGGAATATATCTCACGCTCGCTGTAATATTTTACAACAAAAACATGTAAGTCGTGAGCAACGTAAAACCGGAAGAAAAATTCCTCGATTTTTCTCCAACCTTCGTATATCAGATCAACAACAACGATCATTACGATAACAAATGTGTTTAGATTGTGGTATCGTCGATCTGTTTCTTTCCATTTTTCATTCGCAATCGTATCGATATCAATCCGTTCCGCCAAAGTCAAAGGAATTCCCTTTTCACAAAATCCAACCTTTCCGACATTTCTTCCTGTTGCACTTTCTATACGCTTATTACGATGATTTATCTTCTATCCTGGATCACCAGTGATTTTTACTTCTTGCAAACTCGTGGTTCAATAGATATGTTTCGAGCACATTATTTACCACGATACTTTGTATCCATCTATGATTCTATACGAGTCCACAGTCTCGTGAATCTAAGCTCGATGACGCGTATCAATTTCCCTCTTCCCTCGTTATTTATTTAAAAAAGTAAATGAGAAAATTTTCTAAATAAATAATAGTAAGTTTCTTCGGTTTGTATAATCTACGGTTATAATTTTCTAATTATGATATTTCGAATGACGAAAGAGCACTATGGTTGTACGAGTAATGTAGATCTATCATGGTTAATTAAGTAGAATACGACAAGAACAATCAGACAAGTAGAATAAACCAGCCAAGTGGAGTGATACATTCAAAACCAGACAAGTAGAAGCCGGTCAGAGAGTCATATAGAATAAAATATTCATAGCCAGCCAAGTGGAATAAAAGCTTTGTAGCCGAATAGAATAGAATAATGCCGTACTCGGGCAAGTGGCGTTAATGATTAGACAAGTTGAATGAGATAATCATGGCGAGACAAGTTACATTGGAGTAAGACGTGTTTCTTGAATAATTTTCATCGACTTTTCCAAACTCATCGATCTTCATATTAAGAAAGTATCGAACGAAATTAATGCAAATTGCAGGTTTACTATATCAATTCCATTTATATGTAATCTTTTGAAGCAACATTCGACATTTCGTCTTATTTACAATTTTCTCCACGTGCACTTTGAAATGCAAACGGAAAGTTGAAAATGCAAAGTTACGATGGACCACTCGTTACATCGAGGAGGAAGAATAAAAAGCTGCTTTTTTCCATGGAAGATAATTTAAAACGCGAAACCGTCTTTAGCGAATATTTCTCTTCATTTTGTGATTCCTCTCCTTAAGGGTCTATGTTAAGGTCGAGGGAGCAAGCTCACCTTCGAGAAGTACGTGAGAGTAAATTCAACGCGGTCGAATCGTATTGAGAATGTTAAAAATCTTGACACTCTATCTCGATGAATTTTCATTTCGTTCCTCGATCTACGTTTCCATTCTTGCTGTTCGACACAATCGAGGACAAACCGTTTCGTCGTAACGG